GCGCAGCATGCACGGGCCTGCATTATGGCTAATGCGGGCCAAAATTGCTAAATTTCGGTGGTTTCCGGCATATTCCGACCGTCCGAAATATTCCGCCTGCGCAGCGGCCCATCCCTACATATGACCCAATTTATCCAACTTGTAATCAAATACCATAGCCCGTAACCTGAAAATGGTCGTATATTTCACATACTATCACATTTTTGGATATACTTTTATATTTAATTCGAGGTGACAAAAGTCAACGGTTCGAAAAGATGCTTAGCAGGGGCAACGTGCCCATGAAAATGGCAAGGGGCAGAACCGATTCGGGACATCCAAGATTTACAAGCGTTTGTGGCATTCAATGAATTCCCGCATACAGTAATGCTAACGTAATAAGGGGTCACTGTATGAATGAAGATGTTGAAAGGGAAGCATGGATTTCATTCCCACGCTAACAGTCACTCTAAGCTGTCTTCAATTCGCGATGAACAGAAGGACTAGACAGAACACAGGCCAAGACAAACCTGCTGATAGCAATACGTCTCAAGATACGGTAGAATCTGTAGAGCCATCAGGTGCTCAAATCCAAGAGCCTCAAAATGTTGGGTTTGGTTTAAACCAACAAACAAAAGCATATCTGGATGCGACAATTCAAGCCACGGCGGCATCAATAGTCCAAAACATGCGTCAATACATGAACCAACAACTTGAAACGCAGAGGGAATAGAACACACAATGTATGGAAACGATCAATAGAAGATTCGAGCAGTTAGAACAGATGAACTTGCAAAATAGTGGAGGTGCTCATAATAATAATAATGGCCAGCCCACAGAAACTTGGCGTGATGAAAGTGGTCAACCCACAGCGACACAGCAGCCACGTGGCCTAAGCCATATCATGGAACAGCAGTCAGTCAGTATTGAAGAGAGTACAAACCCAGTACAAGGTAACTATCCCCCTACTCCAATTATCAATAATCTCATCGTGCAAAACCCTGTGACCCAAAATGAGGAAAGTTAGTAATTTTTAAGAGAAACCCTTCTATATTTATATGGCTTAGAGCGATAAGAATTCAAATGCCTCTCTCTAAGCCATAACAATGAATATCAATTAACATTGCAGAGGGTGGCCTGAAATTTATCAACGTATATTATTACAAGAGAAAAATGGGGCGCCACCGGCACCCCTATTGCATTAATAGTGTCAATTTTGGTCAAATTCTTTATTAAAATATCGTGTAATTAATATTGATCCACAAGCAACTGAGTTGGTGTGGCTTCATACTGATCGACCTGTTTAATGCAGGCTGCTATCAACATGACCATGTGATATTTATGTTCAGTAGCTATAATATGGAAATGTCAATTTCCTTGATAGAGAGGTCATGACCGCGAATTAAGGTCAGCTAGGGCCGAATTGGTGATGGCTAGTATGAAATGAAAACCACGCTTTCCTCTAAATCAGCCGCTTTCTCACAGTATCCATTATTAAGATAGAATTACTGTATGTGAAAGGTTATTTAGAATCATACTCTTTCTGTAATCTTGATTATGCGGGGTTGGTCCTGTTTTCGTTGCTATTTTCACAGGGCACATTACCCCTGCTTAGCTCTGTTGACGTTTCTCAACGAATGAAATTACAGCGGATCGATATAGTATAGGTGAGCTGTTTATAAATCGGCCTGTACTATACAGATCAGTTCACTTATGCCATAAAATCGCCGAATAATTTTTTCTCATAATTTGTAATTTCTAATTACTAAAACAGGGGAACGTCAAAGTCAGGTGCGTTAGAATTACCTTTTTGATGCAGTAAGGATTACGTTTTTGATGTAGTAATGGTTAGTGGTTTATGTAAATATCAAGAAGATAATTTATGCTGCATGTAGATCATTTCCAAGTTTATACCAAACTCCTGGCTTTAACGGACCTATCATTATGCAACCAAAATTACCATTCCTTTTTAGTTAGGTTCATATGCGAGATTACAGATTTTTACATGCTACGTATAAAAATGATGCCATCGTATATAAAATTTCTATGCATTACAACTTTTTCGCACGCTATCACAAATTATTAGATTTGGCCGATTAGATAACAAAATTATCGTGTATAAAATTTCTTATAATAAAATAATCGCCCGTCACGAGTGTCCTGTACATTATCGATTATTTGTTCATGTGAAAACAAAGCGTCATTCTCAACTCATGTAACTTGCATATTGTTCTTTATCATGTGCCTATAAGAAATGCATATGGGGTTGAGTCAACAGAAACCAAGCAAATCAAAAATTTTTCAAAATTGAGATTTTTTAATAAAATAATAGAATTCAATATGCTGATTATTTTTTAATTAATAATGAATTTTGATTAGCATAATAAAATTTTAAGATATTGAAGTTTGCGCTTTATGGTTGCACGAAGATTGCAGTTCGGAGATCATTCCGGAAATGTAAATCGATCAACCTCGGAAACTTATAGCACTGGGTTATCGTGTAACATGATCTTATCGTGATCGTGATGCTTAAAAGTCTAATGGTAATATTCGTACATGATCAGCATTTTAATAAAGTTTTGTTCTGTGCTTAAGAGAACCGTAGGGCGAAGATTCGAGCTTGGACGGATCCAAATGATACACTAGTCAGATAAGCCAAGCGAGGTTCTGGTAATGCCGCAATGCAAAGGATCTAAGTTAGACAAAGGTCTTGAAATTCGAATGA